CGGCTCCCCCGTCCTTCCCCCATCCCCGTGAGCAGCGCGGGCCGCCCGACGGGGCGGGCGCGGCGGCGCCAGGACCCCCCGAACGCCCTCGGGGTCTTGAGGGTCTCCCTCTCTGCACACCAGATCCGTCCCAAAGTGTTGCCGCGGCTTCACGCCACTTCTCTCAATTTAACCGGAGCGGCGGAGTGGGATTTTTTCTGGTGGCATCATTAGATTTTAATGACATCCGCAACTGACCCGTGTCAAACCCAGCCGCATCGCGCAAAACTAGGAGCACCGCGGAGCTGAGCCCTGCCGTCGTCGCCAGCGGTTCGGTCGCGACGTGGGTGTTTTTCCTCTGTCCGCCGTCAGTGTGTACATTCCCTGTCAGAACCGGAGCGGCGGAGTGGGATTTTTTCTGGTGGCATCATTAGATTTTAATGACATCCGCAACTGACCCGTGTCAAACCCAGCCGCATCGCGCAAAACTAGGAGCACCGCGGAGCTGAGCCCTGCCGTCGTCGCCAGCGGTTCGGTCGCGACGTGGGTGTTTTTCCTCTGTCCGCCGTCAGTGTGTACATTCCCTGTCAGCTCCATGCACCAGCGCATAAATAAACAGTTCAGTGACCTGCACCCGGACAAATAAAAAATGGTAGTTGCTGTTTGTCACTGTCTGACACCATGCAGACCTGACCTACAGCCCCATCTGGGAAACTATATATATGTATATTAACAACTGTTTGTATCACTTGCATCAGTTCTCACTCATCAGAAACTTGATGTATATCAGGTCTAAGATGTTTTCTGAAGTACTGCTCTGCATGGCTGTGTGCTGTTTGCTGGCTTTTTTCAAAAGAACATCTGAAAGACTGACTGTTCAAGCCCTTCCCTGGGTTTTGCATGATATCCTTGGTTTATGTGAGCCTGTTTTGGTCTACCTGTGCTATCCATCTAGCCTGGTTTGTCCCCTTTTCTGTTCATTCTGTGCAACACTCATATCTGCCTAAAAATGGGGGGGAAACCCAATATGCAAAAGAGCTTCTACCGGCCTCATAATCACAAACATCTTGAATTTGTTTTCCTTGAAGTCTGAGAAAGAACTGATATGTGCTGCTTTGGTAAGTATGCAGATTTTATCTGGACAGTTTTCATGAGCTAATTTGGACAGCAGCATCTTGCCTGTGCTCAGGTGGTGCACGGCGCTGCTGCTGCTCCGTGGCCAGCCTGGGCTGAGCTCTGCCTTCAGGATCCAGAAATGGGCAAAAATACGTCGGCAAACTCACTGTCTCTCCCTATGGCAAGATAATGTGTTATGAAGATGTATTGCATCTCCACTGCCTGCTTTGCTTGGAGAACTTTGTGTCATCACGAGCTCTGGCTCACACGTGCCTCCCTGCCCACACGAAGTCAGAGGGAAAAAAAGCATCTTCTGCAGTGGCAGGCTTTGCTTCCATCACCTCTGTGCTCCCTCGTTGACATCCGCTGAGCTTTGATGTGTTTTGCACCTTGCAGAGTGTCCAAGTGGTTATTTGCAGACTGCAAGTTTTCCTATAGCTGGGGCTTGCCTGCAAGCTGGAGCATCCTGCTGTGCTTCTGAGCTCCCAAGCACCATGGGGACAGAATGACATGGGAGGTGGCTGTACCCCAGCACTGCCAGGCTGCTGTCCGTGATGGAACCATGTGTCCTCGGTTGAGCACGTCCACCGTGGGTGTCTCATAACCCTGCTGTTACCTTCATCCTTGTTGCTCCAAGCTGTGTTATTTCCCCTCCCCAAGGATCGAGTGCTTCCAACAATCAGGGTTTTACAGAATCTCGCTTGCAATTTGAGATCATTTATCTGAATCATGAGATACTGGAAATGAATGAGAAAAGTGTGTGAGGGCATGTTTTGTTCTTGCTTTATTTGAAGCAAATCCAAATTCGGATTTGTATGCAAATGGATCCTTAAATGACAGGGGGAGTCTTCCCAAAAGGATGGCTGAGCAGACCTGAAAATCAAATTCCGGACAATCACTTTGGATGTTGCTCAGTGCAAGACTCATCACTGAGTATTTTTATTAACACTGCAAGTTAAAAATGAGGGCTGGCTGCGAGTAGAATGCGGAATGAGGAAACATTGCCACTGGAGGGTACCTTGCTGGCACGTAGGGCAGGAAGGATGCAGCCACTGCCCAGAATTTCTGAAAATGTGAAGGCTCATCCGAGATCTTATGAGCCACAACTATAGTTTTTCTATTAATAGTTATAATAATGCATATCTAACATATTAGATCTGTACCAATACACATCCCTTCCTAGCTGCTGTCCTCTTTAAAAGAGGGGGTATTGCCTTTTTTCCAATTTAATAATTTTGCTTTATTTTCTTGCGCTGCTCTTTATAACTCACCTCACTCTTTCATCCTTAGGCTCCAAATTCATTGCCAGGCAAGAGCAGTCATCACCTGGGAGACATGACCATCCTATCTGATAACTTGTCATGCCATCATGCCATCGATGACTTCCGCAACCGCGTGTACTCCACCTTGTATTCCATGATCTCCATCATGGGCTTTGTGGGCAACGGGGTGGTCCTGTACGTGCTCATCAAGACCTACCGGCAGAAGACAGCCTTCCAGATCTACATGCTCAACCTGGCCGTCTCCGACTTTCTGTGTGTTTGCACGCTACCCCTTCGGGTCGTGTACTATGTCCACAAAGGAAACTGGTTCTTCAGTGATTTGTTGTGCAGGATCAGTTCGTACGCGCTCTACGTCAACCTCTACTGCAGCATTTTCTTCATGACTGCAATGAGCTTCTTTCGCTGCATTGCCATCGTTTTTCCAGTCCAGAACATCAACCTGGTGACGGAGAAGAAGGCCAAGCTGGTCTGCGTTGGCATCTGGATCTTTGTTACGCTGACGAGCGCTCCCTTTCTGCGCAACGGGAGTTACGAGCATGGTAACAAGACCAAGTGCTTTGAGCCCCCTGAAAATTCCCATAAGACACATCTAGTCGTGATCCTGGATTTTATTGCCCTGTTTGTGGGCTTCATTCTCCCCTTTGTTGTCATAACCATCTGCTACACCATGATCATACGGACACTGCTGAAAAATTCCCTGAAGAAGAACCAGGCCAACCGCAAGAAAGCCGTCTGGATGATCATCATCGTCACGGCTACCTTCCTGGTCAGCTTCACCCCCTACCACATCCTGCGTACGATCCATCTGCACGTGCTGAGGCTGAAGAACGAGAGCTGTGAGGATGCCATTTACTTGCAGAAGGCTGTGGTGGTCACGCTGCCCTTGGCAGCGTCCAACTGCTGTTTTGACCCACTTCTCTACTTCTTCTCGGGGGGCAACTTTCGGAAGAGACTCACCACATTTAGGAAGGCCTCTTCCTCCAGCATAACACAGGCCTTCAGGAAAAAGTTCTCCATAAAAGAGAGGGATGAGGAACCCTTTGGAGAAAGCCAAAAGGCAAACGGGAACACAACAGTGGCCCATTCGTAAGAGCCTTGAGTTTTCCTGCGGGATCTCAAGCGGACAACTGAGATCGCAAAACAGTTTCAGTGACGATGAACAAAGCCCGTAAATCATTGTTACAATTAGGTATATAATAATTAGAGTGGACAGTCTACAGTTTACCCTAGTTGGAAATGGGGCCAAGACTGTGAAGTGACTAGGAGCATCAGCTCCCCGAGCTGGGGGAAGTACAGATGGTGCCCACGGCCGTGTCTGGCCCCTTGCTTGTTGCATTGGCATCAACAGTTATTACAGGAAGACCCATGGACATCTCCTTGGAGTGGGTTGGCTTGGGTTGGCCTCATGCAGGACAGTCCCTCCTTCTGGCATCTCGCAGACAAGATGCAGCCCCGTGAGAGGATCTTTGGGAAGCACTGGGCACAAGGAGCATCAAAAGTCCATCATGAGCCAAGGCAATGCAAGACTGAAACCTCTCTTGCTCGCAGGATGAAGAAGGTTTGGGCCGTATTTTCTGTGTAAATAGAAACTTCCAAATCTTAGAGATTAAAAAAAAAAAGAGAGATAAAGAATTTCCTGTGCTTTTCAGGTTAACCCACCAAAATAGTGCCAAGCTCCCTTCCTCTCGGGGGATGCAGCAAAGTTGGCAGGTTGGGATGCATGATCCAGTATGGCAAAGTGTGGCATTAAGACTGGAGAACAGGGGTTAATAGCGAAAAGCGAGTATGTTTTGATGATGTGGTCTCTGTGAAGCTACTTTATGCAAATAACATCAAGAACACTGTGGCCCTGTAGAATAAGAATGAGCAGAAGGGTCTGGGCCTGTGGCAGGAATTTCTGATCAAGATAAGTCAGTTTTGCACTTGCACAAGAGAGTAAATGTCTTCTGAGTCATCAAAAGGTATGGGGAAAAGTAAATTCAGCTGTCAAATAATTTGTGGATGTGAATTTTTACACAGCACTGAAAAGCCTTTTTGGAAAATGGTAGGGGTCTATAAACTGGGGAAAGCCTGTGAGTTCACAGCCCTGCGGGTACTCACTGCTCCAGGGAATGCGAGCAACACTGCCTTAGACTTCCTAAGAGTCACTACCGGGTATCATTAATGTGTCTCAGAGCATAAGGGCATTGCGTATCTGTAAATATAATTCATCTTGGAAAACTGAGCTTCTGAATATATAGAAAAAAATGCACATTCCCCAATTTTTAAACTTCATTGTGTATTGTACAGTAAAGCTATATGTAATATATAAACACGTTACCAACCACTTTATTGCACTGTTTTTTTGTTTTGTTTTAATGAGACACTGGGAAGGACAAGAGGAATGTGAGGGATTTTCTTTGCAATGGGGAAGCAAAGGACTTTAAGGACGGTTATAAGTTAATGGGGGCGAGTGCTGGCAGCGGGGGGAGGATAAGCAGGGACTGAAGTGACACATGCACAAGATGCCACCCGCTGAGTGGGGTGTCACCTGCCAGGTGACTGCAAGGGGTGGCACTCACATGCATGGAAGCAAACAGCTGGGAAGTGAAGCTGGAGGGATGTGGTGCTGGGGAGCAGCGCGACTGCCAGAAATGCTAAAAAACGGCCGGAGCGGTGCAGAGTTCCGGCCTTGGAACTGTGCATGGGGCTTTTTTGGCGCATACACTGCGATTTGTGGTGCAAGAGTGTCACCTAGCGCTTAGCTGCTCACAGAGGAAATGTAGAAGTTGCCCAGAGCTTGTGAGCGCTGTCACTTGCTCTGTGGGGCTTTATGTGAAATGCCGGCAGGGTGCAAGACGCAGGTAACGAATTATTCAGTTTAATGTGCGAGGACCTGCAAACGGTTGCACTGGACGGAAATTTCCTGCTTTAAGAGCAGTGCACCTGCAGCAACTCAGCCAATGGGATTCTGTGAATCCCAATTTAGCATTTTTTCCCTATTTCTGCTGCAGTCTGACATCAGAAGGGGGACTTCCTTGCGCCAGGAGGGGCAGCGCTGCACTCTGTATCCTTCACTGACAGCAGAAAGGATGATCTGATTGCAAAGAAATTATAAAAAAAAAAATGAAAAAATGGTAAGCATGAAGGAAAGTATTGGAGACTTTAAAATCCTGTCTGTGTAATAAAATGCTGGTAGAAAGACTGGGCAACTAAGTGATCACAGCAGTTTCTTTTGTGTTCAGCCAGTCCAGACTTACAAATGCATCTCTTGGTGCTGTGAGTTTGGGGACTGAACTTGAGCTCTCTGAAATGATTAACTGCAGCTCTGCGAGTGTCCACGTGTGCAAACAAATAGTTTGGGTTATGTGCAGACTTGATGGGAGGCTAAAGCTGATCCGTCACTTTCCTGGCAGCGTCGCTGCTCTGGCTTCCCTGCTGCAGCACCGAGTGGAGCCAGGGCCCTTGAATCACAGAATCATTATGGTTGGAAAAGACCTTCAAGATCACCAAGCCCCACCGCACACCCATCACCACCATACCTACGGGTTAGCAAACCCATTCCAGGCTTTGCACCGGCTTTGCAGAAATATAAAGGCACTGATGGCAGCAGCTTTGGCAAGGAGAGCCTGCCTGGTGGTGTGTCCTCTGCCTGGGGAGCTGGACCCCACAGCTTGGTTAGATATTCTGCTTTTCCTTTTTTTTCCATTTATTTCTACTGGACTTTTTGTGAACGCAGCAGCGTTGCAGTGGGAGATGCTGAATACACCTGGCTGTGGCCGAGGGGATGTCATGCTGGCAAAGTGATTCTTCTGCAGTTAGAGGGATGTTGTGAGAGTTGAACGAAGGTTGAGAGGGAAAAAAATAAATAAAATATAAGGCATTATCCACTTTAGAACACTGTTCAACCCTCCCCACACCAAAAAAACTCAAAGATGACAGTGACAGTAAGGAGTTAAAGCGCAGAGTCCCTGGCTTTATGCTTGTTCCTGCTGCAGATCGCTGTATGTAAGTGCAGAGCTATTTATCCAAGGATGTCCGTGGCAAGGAGCTTGGGCTCCATGGGGGGGACACCGGGACCTGCTGCCACCTCATGTCCCGCCCCCAACGCGGCCTCGGCAGCATAAGGGCCAACAGGGGAAGTGAAAAGCCGGTTGCTTCATTTTTCTGAAATAAGAATCCCACATTTCTTCCAAATGTGCCTTCTGCATTCTTGTTTCTGGCCCGGCTGGGATAAACACTGAGGCCACGTGCGCTGGCCGGGGCTGCCGCTTGCAGGTGGCTTTACTGGGGCAACGAGTCCTGCTGGATTATTCACAGTACAAATATTTATTTTCTGAGGCTTTTCTCAACCTTCACTCGCAGAGTGCAGGATGATCAGAAGCCAAGACGGTCATTTTGTGGTCACTTCATGCTCTTTCTGGGGCTGCTCTGGGGTCTCTGCTCCAGCGGCACCTCCTGCTGCACTCTGCGATGGGCAACGTTGCTCCGTATATCACTGCTAAACATGACACAAGGAATAAACTGCAAATGGGACCCGACGTGGAGCTTTTCTGCTTCAAGGTGCCAGGTTTGCGGGGCTCTCCTGCAGGCCCCCTGTTGCTGGTGACTTCAGCTTGGCCAATTCAGGCCCAGGTTGCAGAGGAGCCTTTGGGTGAGAGACCCCAAAGCAGCTCCTGGCTGGTCACCAGGCTCCATCCCACAGCTCCAACAGGGCACTTCACTTTCTTCTTCTTTTCTCATCTTCTTTTCCCTTATTCATTTTCCTAGCAGGTTCTCCCACGCAGCGATCAAGCCTGAGGAGGAAGGGGCTTATGCAGCCACCGCAGGCAGGGACCTTCATGGCTGCTTGGACCTTCTTGGCCCTTTTTTGAGGACAGAAACTAGACCCGTGACATTCTCAAAGGGAGAGAGCATCAGCCCTGAACAAAGAAGTAGATTGCAATAATGGATACAATATGGAGGCTTCCTCCAGGAGCCAATATTTGTATTCTTCACAGCTGCATCTTTTTCTTTCCTTCTTTTTTTCTTTTTTTTTCACCCTAAACTGCTCCCAAGTGCTTCGTGCCATGTGGCTGCTTCTTATTTGCACCAAAGACCCGATCCATCGCTGCTCTCGCTGATTATGTGTGCTCCAGCTAAGCCGATGGAAGCTGCTCATGCGAGGCCATTGCTGGCCCCTCCGGCGGCCACGCGGGCCCAGCGGGCCCGGATCTGGCGCTCCGGCCCCACAGGGCTGGGAATGGCGAGGCTGGAAGTGGGACCCCAGCACGGAGCAGGGGCCTTGATGGAGCAAAAGAACAGAAAAGGGACTGGAAACAATAAGAAGGGTTGGGGTTATTGGAGAAGAGAGGGAGTGAAAGAGGTTGTCTGGGGACAGCGAGGAAAATGCCAGATAGGAAAGAACTAGTGCGAGGGGAAAGACAATGGAAAAAGCAGCAAAGGAGGGAAGCAACAGGAAGGCAATGGGAAAACGGGGCAGAGCCATCTGTGACAGCAGACGGGCAGCTCTGCTGCACCTCTGTCTATCTCCAGCACGTCTGCATTGCGCAGATGGAAATCTTTTCCTCTGTGCATGGAAATAAGTTGAAACTTAGTGCAAAACTCTGATGCTGCAAAGGAAACACGTCTTTTATTTTTTTTCCTCCCTAAATGCAAAGAGAGGGGGATTTAGAAAACACGGAATAGCCAGAACGGTGGGTGCACCCGAGTGACCCAGGGGAAGGTAGGAAAGCGGCAGCAGCAGCACGAGCAGGGAGGGAAGCGGCGAGGCCGGCGGCGGGAGCAGCGACACGTGCCGCTCCGCACGCCGCCGTTTCCAGCTACATCCGTGCCCGGCTGTGGCCCTGCCGGACGCAGCATCTAGAGCAAGGCAGAGAAGCTGCGTTTCGGCAGCAGAGCTCGCAGCCTTTTGTCTGATGGCAAAATCAGTTCCAAATGTTGAAATTTCAATGCAGACTACAATTTTGTCACAGTCAGATTTATTCCCACTTGTTTTCTTTCCTCTCCACCCCTCCCCTTCTCTCTGCTCCACAGAAATTGGCCCTGGCTCTTCCCTTCACCTCTCCAAGGCTCTTCTGCAGCCGAGCTTCGAGCAAAGCGCCAGTGTTG